AGAGCAGTGGCTGACCACCTCGTCGTGAAGTCATGCCTCACAGAGCTCGCGTTCACATACCCCACACAATTCACGCTGCACTAGCTGCATATAGTACAGGATGCGATTAGTCTGCTCAGTGCCTGGGGCATCTACAATATGCATTCAGTGAGATCACGGCATAGCTTAAGAGTCCTTCTTTGGTGCGAAACCCGCCTCTGCACCGTCCAACGCCGCCTGGCCACGAAAGGCCAAAGCTGACGTCGAGACGACGTGCACGAGATATATTCACGAAGCTCGGATAAGTCAGTCAGCAGGCTAGCTCTATGCACATTTTGAGATGAAGAAGCTATCCGCCGTAGAGAACGTATTTTCAGCCAGCTTCAGGGTCGAAAGAACATTGAAAGTGAAAAAAGAAGTAGGAAACATGGCAGAGTGGTGAGGCCATCTTAGCCTCTATTGCGCCCTCGTGCTTGTGCTCTTTCCATCACCTTTAGCTCCTCAATCGAAAACAGCGAAAACATCGTCGAAAGGATTGGTCGAGTCGGCGGAAACAGCCTGGCAAGGATCCCCAGGGTTCGCCTGGTGGTGATCGAGTGACGTGAAAACGGCAGGAGACTTCGCACCACCACCAAACCAATCGCCGGGTCTCGGGTCGACTTTGTCATTGATTGCGACATCAGCCCTGTCTGCTACAGGATCAGTGTTGACTGAAGCTAGTGATTGCGATGACATTACAGTAGGTGTGCAAGTACGTAGGTGCTGAGAGCATGCGCACCCTCACGGTTTCTGCCGTGGAAACGGCAGCAATTATATTCGCTGTCTCTGACTATGTTCCCGGCCGCGGTGGCGTCATTCAGAATAGCCCGAGTCAGTTTTGGAGTATCCCTGGTCACATTCTTGTTGAAGAACAGCAAATTGCGGCGAATACGCCTCTGAGTCAACTTGAACGCGGGCGAATAGTGAGACTAGCTGGTAGTCGTCGCGTTGGCCACAAATGCCTCTGCTTCTTTGCTATAATGCACAGAGACGTGTTTTTTGACCGTAATTGAGCCTCGTGAGCTATACTCACTGTATTTTACCGGCCGTACCCAGGGATTCTGTACTAACAAAGTGGCCATGGTCATTGGCGTTGCGCGCGTTGTGCGCGTTCTGGCCGTCGTGGCCCTTTTCTCCCCTGCCACGGCCGCTTTCATACCCGCCTCGCTTCGCACCGGACGCATTACAGCTTCCCAGGCAAGCGGGGGCCAATAATAGCAGCTGTGGTACCATGGTTTCGACGTGAAACTCGATGACGCCCCATACTACCAGCAGAGACCAGTTTCCATCACGAATTGGATGCGTTTGACCTGCGTGTACGCAGAATAGAGCACAACATGGTGAACAGACACAGGGCAAACGAGCCTGTCAAGCCCATCTTCTTTTCGCGTGCCAGATTGAGCGTACACAGCACGCGGATGGGCGGAAGAGTCACAAGAACATACTAGTTATTGGTCAGGATGGCGTAGGCCGTGAACAAAGCTCCGACAGGCAGGCAGCTTCCTGCTTGGGCGAATTCCAGAATTTGTCAATCTGTGCGCAGATAGGCCAATCTTTAAGGGGGCCCGCGCAGTAGACGCAGATAATTGATCAGAGGAGCGACCTTAAAGAAGCTTATACCGGTCTGATAAACTGGTCGGCCGGCAATGTTGACTCTTGTACACACGATCAGATTTTGGGGAGGGCGCAGTGAGAGGGGCGATCCGAGGCCATATCTAGTTTCTACGAAGATCGCTCAGCCAGAATGAAATAGTCAGCAAAAGGGGCTTGGTGGGGCATGTGCGGACGATGCAGAGACTCGAGTACGCAAAGGCAAAGTGAAGAGACGAAAACGACATCAGGTCATCAGCTGCCATGCAGGGCATTCTTCGCCGTAGATATAAGCAGGCACCAACAACAACAATGGAAAGATAGACAAAACAACGCAGATTGCGATGGTGAATTTGTAAGACTTCGCGTCGAATTCTGCGGTCGCGTTGGCGATAAGACCATGCTGACGACTACGTTGCCCGGGTTCGCAAAGGCTTGACAGCAGGGCGTATGCATAGAGATCAGGCCAACAAGTATTGTAGATGCTTCGACTCGATTCTATACTGCCCCATCAGCAGTCTCGATAATCGAACTCTTCTAGTGGCAACGCATATTTCGACCTGCGCAGGGACAGTCAAAACAGCCGCTCCTGGCCACAACAGCGCATAGGTGCTGTGCCGACACTGTGCCATCTTATCCTGTGGTGGTTGCCCTCGCTCAGACGGGGAAAAATGCCCCAACCAAGAAACATACCAGATTAATGGGCCCAAAGAGTATCATGGGCAAGAAAGAGACTGCGAAGTGGCCTGCGCATGCTTAGTCTTGAGACCTCGTGAGGGCGCGCCAGAACTCACCAAAGATGATCGGCCGTCTAGTGATGGTCGCCCAGAACTCGCGTGACGTGAGCAAAGCGGACGCACCGTCCCATCGCCATGGGCCGCGCAGACGGAACTTGGTGTTGAAGTTTGCGCCAAGCGCCCACACGAGAAGTAGCTTCAATGACCCAAGGCGCACCACGTCCGTGAGACCAGGTGCGGAGCCCATATCAAGGGCCAGTTGATACACATAGCTCTCATGGTCTACACCGTACTGCACACGGGCTCCGGGTACGCTGCGCAGCCTGTAGTGCCACTCGTCCTGGGGGTGCGGAGGCCGAGGGATGCAGTGCCTGGCCAGAAGA